ATCCGGCGTGAGATCCGTTATCGAACCGTCAGAGAGATTCTTTTCCGTAGACACGAAAGCCGCGGTGCCGCCGCCGACGCCGCCGCATTCCCGCGAAATTATTGCCTACCGGTAAACTCTCGGACCTTCCGTCGGCCGATGCCGGGTGTCTCGGAATTAGAATCGTAGAGAAGCGGCCTCGGGAAAAAGCGGGATGGAACTCTGGTCCCACAGTCAGGAGCAGAGGTGTTGAGAAATCGCTCGTATGGGCACCGTGAGAGACACGTAAGGCATGATGCATTTCTTGGTATCCACAAGCAGAGAAATTTTAATAAAAAATGCCATTAAGAATTTCTGTTAATATCTTTTAATGTAAATTTTATGATTTATATTTTAGAATAAGTATATAATATAATTAAAATTGTAAAGAGAATTAAATTAGATAATTCTTTAAGGACTTACGCACAGATGAAATTTTTTTTTATTCTCGAGAAGTCATCTGTTTTTTGTGAAATTGTTGTACAATGAACACTCGATGAATAATTGCGATTTTTTAATGGAACTTGTTATTGCCTGTAATTACTATTTCGTGGCTGTTATTGCAATCGATTTATAATGATTTCGCAGAAACTATCTGGGGGGAGATTGTTAAACGACGCGCAATCGTCCCGATTGACTCCGACGCAATTCTAATGAGGCAGCTTTAGATTTTAATAAGTTCCTAAGAAAAATTCCGGCGGCGGCTGCGCGCGCGATCCCGCCGACCCTATGCTGCCCCGAGGACGTTCCCATGAGTCGGGGGCGGCCACGCCGACGCTTTCGTAGGCTCTGGAAGATGCTGGGTCCGAGAGAGCACCCGGGGGCCATGCCATGTTCCACCTCGTGAGCGGTGCGTGCAACCGCGCGCTCTCGCAAACACGTTATTACGCGAACCCTTAATAACCCAGTGCGAGAGTTAACCTCTGCCTCTCTTTCTCTCTCTCCCTCTCTCTCTTTCTCTCACTCACACTCTCTTCTTCTCATTCCTTCGAGGAGACTTCCACTTCCTTTCGCTTCTTCTGCCTCGCTTCGATCCCGACTATTGGATTAGCCGTTCCGCCAGCAATGTGGACGGTAGCCAGTTGCCTCGATGCAACCTCTGACATACCTCGAGGCTTCATCGGCAGTCACCGACAATGATGAAGCTTGATTCATATTAAGAGAAAAAGGGAAAACAATTCACTTAATTAAACCTATTACGTTTCAATATTTTCGTAAAACTTGACAATAGGCAATAATTATACATAATTTTCAATTTTGGAAGAATTTCGATAATTATTTATTTTAAACAAGTGCGATATATACATATATATATATAGGTATATACAAATTAGAAAAAATTTCCTTAAAATGGAGAATTACAAATTTATGATTGTAATTCGTCAAATTTGACATTTGTCTTTTTGATGAATAAAAGACTGCTTTTAACGACGGTGTATATTAATTCATGAAGCACGTATGTAATACTTTTATTCCACGACCTCAATTCTTGAAAGATATTATTCTTTGAAGAATTAGTGACTTACTTTGAAAGAATTAATTACTTTGAAGAATTTATAAAATGTCATAAAATGTCTTGCATAATCAAAGTGATAGATATTACGGGGAATGTGATTATTTTTATCGTTAGCGAACGTATCTCACCGCATATGATTTGCCTCGGCGAATATTGAGCGACGATGTCGCGATGGGATGAACCAGGAAGCGATGTGAGGCAAGAAGTTCTTGGCCTTCACGTCGCCAGATCAATGTCGTCAGAATGTGCGCTTATCGTTTGTGTTACTCTGTAACGCCTCCGCGAAATGAAGCTATTCTCGAAAATGATAAATTGTTATCATTTGTAACAATTGTTCTGTCGACACAGTTTAATGACAAATTGTCGACAAGATCTTGTCGACGATTAATATCTCGTCAAATTGATAATGCAATTTTTTTATTTCCTGATATTTGAAAACGAGTGGTGGATGTTAACGATCAAACTTGACATCTGACGAAGCCTGATCGAATATAGTAGCTGCATAAAAAGATAGTAGTTTTTATACAGGTAAATGTAAAAATAAAAATGAATGGGGACGGTATAAGTATCCCTCGTGCCGAACGTTCGCGGGAGCGCGCTGTCGCGGGCTATCGATTCCCGCGGACGACGTGTTGCCGCTCAGCTCCATCCCGGACGCGCGTCTGACGTCTGACGTCACGCGAGACTCTGCATCTAACATCCCGCGAATTTCGGTATTAGGACCGTATGAAGCTCGGCCGAGTGCTCGACGAGTGCTCTCGGGGGCGACGACTACCGCGGGATCCGGAGCCGGCGACCGAAACAACGCGCGTCTCCCGTTGACGCGCACGACGTCGTATTCATATTAGTAGGATCCGCCGACACGTCGAAGGTGTTTTCGGCCGTCCGCCCGGCCCCGGCGAGATAGTCCGGCGGATTATCATGCGCGTGCATGTCGACAAAGGAAGTTTAGCTTGTAAAGCTGATTAAACCTTAGTTAATCACAACCGAGCAGGCCGGCATGAGGCGACTGGAGGTATAACGACGATTCCCCCAGTCGTCGCCCCTCTGCGCGCCGTCCCGCTCTCACGCGGATAGGGGCGTTCCACCATCTCTCCCGCTCTCTGGACGCGGCTCTCCCCCACAGCTCCTCTCGATTCGCGCGCATGTCCCTACTTCCCTCGGTTGATCCCCCGACGGCTCGCGGCGGATCCGGCTGCTCCGCGGCACGTGTTCCCCTGGTAGCGGCTCGTGCGAGCGGGCGGTCCCGCGCGGCAAACCGGCGCGCGCGACGCGCGCTCCGCGCCGCTCATGTTCGCCCGTTGCGCGCGACATAGCAACTGAATTCGGTGCTGCAGTCCGCGAATTCCGGAGATTCTCTACCGTCATACCTAATAGCCGCGCGCGCCGGTTTGCTCTTCCCGGTGTTGCGTGCGTGCGGCTGGCTGGAGCAGTTCCCCGTCTACCCTTTCGTAACGACGTCCGACTGATCTTCCCTCCCGTCCGTTTCCGCGTTCGACCCGGTGGACGAGAACGAGAGAACAGGCACGTCGAACGCCGGCGCGAGGCTTCGTCGCTGCGAGGTTTCGTCGGCGAGCACGAGATTAGATAAACCGATGACTCTGATAAAATCGAACGGAAATAATTTATTCTCCTCACATCCCGTCGCGGAGGAAAAACTCGTGAAACTGTCATCCCGTCTCTAACAATAAGTTAGCAGGCTCACTTTCGGCCGTTAGAACGCGCGGATCGCCCGGACATGTATATCGCGATGCATACGAGGCGGAGAATGAGAGTGATCCTCCTCGCGCGCGCGTTCCAGCGTGAGGACGCGGAAGAACGCGAGCGAGTAACGGAGGTTCGACGGAGAACGAGCGAGGACGGGCGGGGAAGTGACAGAGACGGAGGCATGGTGGGAGCCTCCTCGGATAGCTGATCTCCTGGCACATCGGCGCAGCGCCGCAGCGCCACGCGTCACGGCGAGCACCATCGCAACGCGCGGCGCCCTTACGCCGGCCACCGCGACGCGGCTACGCCGTGGCGCTTTGACTCCTTTCCTGCGACCCATCGTCGCGATGCTGCGACGGCGCTGACGCCCTCCTCGAATCGTCTCGGGCGTCCAGCTACGTCCGGCATGCGAGTGACGACGGGGACGGGCAGCAGTGTGCCAAGACATTCGAGCACCTTAAGCCAACGAGCTGATCACAAAATCCTGTACTTACACGAGTAACAAAAGTCGCGGTGACTTGCGTCACTCAAAACTCAAAAAGCCTTAGACAATCTATAACTTATGTCAGAACTCAGGATAGAGTTCTATTTTATGTGCTGTGTGATATGAAGTCATTCGAAGAATCAATCATACGTATTTAAAAAAAATATTTATCAATCCAGATTAAAGCACAGAATTAAAAAAAGAATTCATTAGTATATTCGGTTGTAAATCATCAATTTTGAGTTCGTTTTCAGGTGCAAAAAGAATTCTTTTTCAGAATTTTTAGAAAAAGAATTCTTTTTGCAAATGAACTGAAGAATTGTTGACATATGACATGAGTGAATTCTTTTTGAACTCTCTGTGCTATCTGGGAAAATATACGGTATATAAAATTATAATAGAATTCTATCTTGAAAGTTGACGCGAATCGTCTCAAATGGATCTTAAAAATCAATTTTTAAGCTAGAAAAGAATTTGCGTTTGAGAAATATTGTTGGTTTAACGAGGTGCATTTAATAGGATTTGTTTTAATAGGATTTTATAATTTGGATCTTAGCGAAATAATTGAATGAAGATGTATTCTAAAAGTTGGTTGAGGACGTTTATATTTTCCTAGCTTAATATAAATTTAATTAAAAAATTCTTTTCTTTTATCAAGTTCTACTTTTGGTACATGAAGCCACGATTTAAAGGGCATTGATTCAATTGCGTTGCTGTATTTATCTAGCATTCGACGCCACCTCTTGGCCAGAGGATACACGAAGAAGCAATAATCATTCTACAGCAACAAACTGTATACTGACATGACAATCAGTAAGATGTGTTCATGGTAGAATTGGTAGATGGCAATACTTACTGATGAAGTTGAGTCTCTTTACCAACATGCGTTCTATAGTTTTGACTCGATCGCTAATCAGTTAAGTATTGCGCTAGTATCGTTAGCAACAATCATTTGAAATTCTATTTTCGTTGTTAGTATCGTCGATCAGACTTTTATTAACGTCGATAATTGAATGTGTAGTCTATTGCAAAACTCGGGTTCTTTCTCCAATTTCTATAGAAATCAAATTGAAACAGTCGTGTTGTTAATTTGCCAGATCACGATATCAATAAAATTTGTACACTGATATTATGATAATAATGTATATATATAATAAGATTTTAATAAAGTTTTCTCTGACGTAAATCCTTACGATCCGACGCACACTTCTTTAGCGTCGAGACACGACCGTGTCTCATGATATTATAGTCATTATTTTTAAAGGACATTGGATATGAATTTACTAAAAATTGTATATTTATTTATAAACTTGTCACATCGAGTGAACACTGAGTTTTTTTACTAGTAAAGCCACGTGTTTTTCTTTTCTCTTTTGATATTGCACGAACTTATTACTATCAATAGAAAATGAGTGTAAAAACGTACTCAATTATTCTACATCATTCAATCCTAAACTTGGCAAAACTAAAGAAGCGATCTTAAGTCGTTATTATTATGATAAAATCTAAAAAAAATTACCAAATTTACAATTACAAATTCCTAATGCTACTTTTTAAATGTAAAACATTAAATCATAGTAAAATATTAAATTTATTAAATTAAAATAAATTACATCGATTTTGAGAATTAAAAGCCTCATTTCAAGTCTTTAAACTAGAAGTTATTAGACATCACTATTAAAATATAACAATGTCTTGCGAGCTACTGCCAAGCTGAGGTACTCGTCGACCAGTTCTAAAATCGAACGTAATAAAAACGAATACTGTCCCGTCTGGAATATATCGTGTCGTCGATAATAAGTCGACATCTTCATCGCCGCGTTTGATTCGCAATCTCTTTTAGCAGAGTCTAAGCGTTCCCACTCAAAACGCTACGAAATCGTTTTGCTCTTGAGTGGAACCGATTCGACACCATCTTCTACGGTGGCTCCGTTCGTCTTTGTGTGGCTCCCGGGCGGATTGTTCCAGCTCTGTAACTCGCCGGTGCCAAAAGTGACAAACGTTACTGCGCCGCTGAAGTAGACGGCCGCTAGGATCCAAAAGATGATGGTCCACTGCGAATAGGTCTGATTTTGGTACGTGATGTTACCGACCATGAAGGTGCTGAGGAAACCGCCTATCGAGCTGAAGGTGTTGGCGATGCCGAATATGGTCCCGGAGAAATTAGGCGCGATGTCGAGACCGTTCCCGAGGTAGCCGGCCGTTATGCCGCCGTTTATTGTCAGAGCGACAGTAAATACGATGACGGACGCCGCGCGATTGCAACCGTAGTACGCTTGGATCACCATAAGGATGCCGGGAGTTAGCACAGCTAGAAATCAGAGTTTTTTTCATTAGCCGAAAATAAGATTCTAATCCAATTGTAACAATCAATACATTGCCATGATAGTCACTGACGATTGGTGCTATCAAAATTTTTTCAAACGCTTGAAAAAATAAATGCCATCTATAATATAAAATTTTGAATAACTACGTAAAATAAAAAGTGCGCTCTTCAATTACCATGAAGAGATATATAGTTTTGTTTAGTCATTATATATTTGTGATAATAAAAATTCTATGGAGTACACGGTATAAGAGAGTTACATGTACGTATAAAACTTATTGGGCAAACAATGTTAATTTATATATTTAAAAAGATTCTATATACTATTTGATTATAAGTTAAAAAAAACTGATCTTATCGCTGAAGAAAAAAATTCTGAAAACATTCGCTCACATTTTCACAAACATTTTACTCACCGAACGTCGTAAAAATTTTACGTATTGCCGTCACGGATAACTTGTTGTTGCGGAGTAGATAATCGGCCAAGATGGACATTGATAAGGCAAATATATATTTGCCTAAATAGGGTAACGAGGACAACAGGCCGTTCTATAAATATCATTTTTATTAGCATATTCCATTAGTAGTCTTTATTTCATTAGTAAATATCATTTCCAATGAATAATATATCAATAAAACAATAATGACATGAAAATGGTTTTGTCCATTAATACAATTGACGATATATACCTCTTTAATGTTGAAGTGTAAAATATATTTCATGTAAGTCGGAAGCTGATTGACAATAGTGTGGTAACCGAAGACGCTGCACGCGTGCGTTATTATGATAGCCCAAACGGGTCCCGAAGTGATAAGTGCGCGCCATGGTATCGGCAAATGCTACAGTTAAAGTATTGCATTAGTAAGTTAGACATTAATTAATTAAGATCTCGCACAAAATAAGAAGTGAAACAAGATTTTTCAACCGAGACCAGTAAATAAATTTGTCTCAATTTATATTTTGCTTCAGAGGATTACATAAGATTAAAATAAATTAATAACGAAGAAAAAAAACTGAAATAGAATAAAATATCTAAGACTAAATGAACGGTTTTTTTTTACTGCTACGCTACAACCTTAGCGGTGGTGGTCGTTCCAATCGCGCTCTCGATAAAGTGCCGCTCCTCCGCACTGATGCGCGGATGCTCCGATGGTGAGTCGAACACCAGCAAGAACCACGTCACGCTCCAGATAATCCCGATCACGCCGGTCACGTAGAACACCGACTCCCAGCCGAGCGAGGCGATGAGGAACCCGCACATCAGCATAGTTATCGCGGCGCCGAGCGACGAGGCTGCAAAGTAACGATGCAAAGTTTACGGCGCGGCGATTGACGCAATCGCGCGCGTCCCCGTCGCGGCCATAAAACGGTCTGTGTCTATCTCGCGTATATACGTATTTCGCAGTTTCTTTAAGGTCTCTAGGAACGAGAGCGGGAAACGATTATGGCATCGATTGGCCTGGATTTCGCGATCGCGTGGCGAATTAGTTCATGATCATTTACCCATCATGTGAGAGACGAACTTGCTACGCTCCGTCGGTGGAATCCATCGAGCAGTCATTGGCTGGATGGCAGGCCAGGTGGCACCCTGGATTTGCGAGACGAATCAATTTTGAGAGATTGTCAATAATGATTTGCGTAATTGTTTGCAGTCACATGAAACTCGATTGATGATTAATTGCGTAATTGGATTACGTGCAAAGAAAGATAAATAGAGAGAGAGAGAGAGAGAGAAAGAGAGATGCTCGATAGATTCAGATTTTCGTTTATTAGATCGTTTCTCACGGAGGCGGATGCGTGCGTTTATTAGATTAGCTCCTAGATGAAATATAATGACGTACCAGCATAAATCCTAATACAACTCTCAGCGCGACGACCGCAGTGTAACCGAGGGTAGCTGCCAACGGTGTCAACAGCGTGACGAAGCTCGACGCTAGCATGCTGTAGCCGAAAACTCGTTTGGTACCAATTATTTCCGCAAGTCTGCCGCCGGGAAACTCCGTGCATATGTAACCCCAGAAGAAACTGCCGAGAATCATGTTCACCTCGTATTCGTTCCACGGATACTTGGTCTGGACTCGTTCCTCCTGAGATTGAAAATCGAGGAATTCGTAAAAGTTGGTCTCGGAAAAAATCGAGCGAAAAAAAATATACTCCGTAATTATACTTAAGAGAAAAATTAAAATCGCTTAAGGACAATTCTCGCCTCGATTAATGAAAACACAAACTCTAGCAAAATAAAAAATATTCCGAATCTCTGGCAAAACAATTTCTGTTGCGATTAATCGCGGTCGCGGTTCAATTTCGTATTTTGTATTTAAATAAAATCTCTTCGCGCGATGTGCCCGCCATCGCCGATTGGCGATTAATGAGGTCATTCACCGCATGCAAGTTCGGCTTTACGTGAGTTTTAACGAACCCGATGCCAGTGTGGGAACATTGCGAGCGTGCTGCCGTTGTTCATCTCGTTGACTCTATTAACGTTGACGTCGATCGCCGGGGTCCTGGTGTCGCCGATCGGGGTGAAGTCGTTCATCATCGTCGCCTGGACACCGCACTCATCCACCACCGATCCGTTGGAATGCGAATGTTGACCGCTACTGTTGCTCGGTATCACCATTGAAACGATCGCGATCGTTAGATTTATACGCAGCATGTAGTTTAACATGAAGCCGAGAATCACCATGATATTCAGTACTTGCCTGCATGACAAGCGATCTGGAAAAACATTTGCGGTCATTCGTTTTACGGTCGTGTGGTTCGAAATCGGCCGCAAACATTCAGCCAATGCATTAAACTGATGCATATTAATGACTGCTTGTTAACGCTTTTATTTCTTTCTTTCTTATTATAAATTGTAACATAAGATATTTATATTTTTATAACACATGAAATAAAATATATAAATATATCAGTTAAATTTAAAGATGCAAAAGAAAGAGTAAAATATCTAACAAAATCGATTATTTTGAATTATACTATTCATTAAAATTATTGGTTCTAAAAATTAATATAGTTTTTTTAATATACTTTCTAAATAAATATCTTGTTAAAAATATTTCAAGTTTTAATTTTCTATAAAAATGTACAAATATTTTAGAAATCATGATGAACATGTTTGTTGAAATCTAAGAAAAAAAAATCTATGTCCTTTTCGACTTCCGTCTCATATGCACGAATGACGTTAGCCAGTTTTATTTACATTGACATTGTTTTGTCTGTGATTCCAGGATTTCTTTTATACAAACTATCGACAACAGTGTGTATATGTCGAAAACAGGACGTACTTATGTACGTACTTATATGCGACTGGCGAGCGTCTATGTCACATGCTCCAAGTGCTGTAAACAATTTTTACGTAACACTAGCATGCAACACACGCGACTACGTATGTATAGTTTCGGTCCATTATCGATCTCGATGCTATTGTACACAGCCGCGACTCATCTCGAGGTCATCGTTGGGGATCCCGGAGATTCCCCAACGCGCGAGATCACGCTTTCTCTCAGTCGTGTCTCTCTCGGTCGCGTTTATCGCAAACGCCGAATTATCGTATAGCTATACTATTGAAATGTTTTCCGCTTGCAGCGCGAATCAGGCGCGGAATGGATTAATAATTAAAAGCGCGTCGCAATTGTGCCAATTCACGGCTCGGTCGATCGCGTCCGTTTCACTTTAATGAATCGTATATCATATAGGTGATATCGGACTCTCCGGTCATGATCGTCGCTCGACGCGGTTTCCGCACATTCATTGGCAGACCGCCGAAATTATTTCAAGAATGGGCGCGAGCGGTCCAATTATTTTCCCTACCCGTGCCTCGCGGTGCACGCGCACGTCTCGCGGTTTCGCAAATCCGGAGACACGTGCGTCCAAGCACGATAGCTTTCGCGAAACGTTACATACGTCAATGAGTACCGAACGAAAGTTGTAAGAAAGAAGCTTGCGGAGCGAAGAAGCCGGGCATAGCCGGCACTTAATCGCGGAGCGCAAACAGGCGCACCTCGTCCCCGATATTAATAGTCAGCATTAGGTCGCCTTGCATCGCGTCCGCTTTGCATGCACTACGCGATCGTATCCGTAAAGCCGACTCGTTACTTTGCTTATCGCGAATTTGCGTCCGAGGTTATCGCAGAAGCATTGGATGCTACCGTATACACGCAATGAATCATATGCTTTGCAAGTATCAAATTCCAGCCCACATATATAGAATCTAATGACAAATCCCCTTGGCCTATTTGACACCGATCTTGGCCCGATCTTTCTCTCGATGTGGAAACACGAATTGAAACGAAAAGTAATGTGTACGTAATTTTTGAATAATTATCGAAAATAAATTATTTAGAAATAAAGCTCATTTGCTGTGATTTAAATAAATAGCCAATACGATCGTAATCTCTGCGTGCAAGTTGATCGCATGTCATGGACTTTACTTCGGTAGAATTTTATTTTGATTTATCTGCAATAACAAATTGCTACAAATAACCGATTGCTAAAAATTTCCTTCGATGGGGTAAGCCGGCGATTCTTACGTCAATTCACTCCGCCTAATCGTTCTTGTCTTTGACGCATTTAGTTGTTACAACAGAGAAGCGCGTGGCGAGCGACAAATAAGTTGTGCCCCGTTGCATAATCGCAACGTATGTAACGTGTGACGAAAGTGAATGGTCATCAATACGCGGACGATTAGGATTTCCTGGACTGAAAAGGTACACAGACACGGCATTGCAACAAAGAACCGACACGGATAATTTGCGAGTTAAACGTTCGTCGACGCGAACCTATGTCAGCGTCGCCGATGCAAAGACGTGCTCCTAACCACCGTGTCTGACGTAACCAAAACCGTGAGTAAGGTCGAATGAAATCGCCGTCAGGTGCATTCTTATCGCGAGGAAGTAATACTGTTACTCAGAAGATTTGAGCGATTTCATGTGTTTTGTGTTAAACTCCATTCCGTATTTTTTTCCGACGTCCATATATTTACATACAGATTACTCAGCAAGTTAATAGTCAAGTAAATATTAATTATCTTTATTATTATTGCTTAGCTCCTCGACTGATAAAAGATATGAAAAAGAGATGCAACGGGCATGAAATATATTTTATACAGTAATAAATGAAGTATTTCTTATATCTATATTTAACAGCAATATAATTTTCCTTCATGTCGTTTTAATTTTAATTTACAGTTTTAATTTTAATTTTAATTTTAAAGTAAAGACTTACTTGTAATTTTATTTAGTCATATAAAAAAACCTTCGACCATATTGACTTTAATTGACTAATTGATTTTATTTTTCCGACCCTGCTTCTTTTTAAATGAGGATATTTAATTTGCGTCCATGATTATACTGTCTTTCTTTGCGTCGCACCAGAAACGCCAATAATGGTGAACGACGTAACAAAAATAACGAAATCAATTAGAGAACACGATCTGTTTTTCCTTATTTTCAGTTTAAACGATCTGTGTGCTTAAACGACATGTTTACTGACGTACTCATTCTACACTTAGGTTACAAAGATATTTTCTTCATGTTTCGCTCTAAATTGGCAAATTGACATTTGTAGCATTACGCTGTTCGACGTTTTACCGTCGTACTTTGCAGCGTATCAGTATACGCTATCCGCGCATATGGGATTGCCTTGGAGAGGACGAGATCCCTGTGGATGCAATTTGGGCGATTGGAGAGGAGTGCCTATTTAAAAGTCCAATTTGACCGATATAATAATGACGTTCGTGAATCGGGAGCTCGCCCGCCACGCGTATCGTGCTATCCACTTAACCGCTATTGCGACTATTACGCTCCCCGATCATGTAGCAACGGGTCTTGGTACTTTAAATGCGGGGAATATACATATATTGCGTTTCTAGTATTTGAAAGTTATCGACTTTGAACGCGTCCTCTGATAATAGCGGACGTATACCAATAATGCGTAATATGCAATTTAGTTCGAGTCTCGGGTGTCGGATTCGAAAAATTTCAGTCAAGCCGCCAAACAGCGAGAGATTGATATACGTGGAAGATAAATAAATTCATCGAAGAGAGATGATTATTTGACACTGATTACAATTTAACATAGTTTATTCAATCCGCAGCCTATTAATCTTAATATCTATATTGATCTAATTCTAATGAATTCTATGTTGTGTATGTTGTGTACATTATTAAATTGATCAACGCGACGCCGGATATTAATATAACGAGAAATGATCATTTATCTTTGAACTGAAATCAAGATACAGGTAAAAGTTTCCAAAACGTCAATTGTTTTAACTAATCAATAGAATAAATGATTCTATATATTTAATATTATTTTTTTTTAATGACATTTTCTCTTTTGCTACAATAAGCAGTCTTAACTTAGTTCTGTCACAAATGTATGTAGAACATGTTAATGTCAATTACATATCGCTACGTTAGCGTTACAAGTCAGTTTGACCGGTGACTCTAGTCGCTAATCACGATTTTTACGGTCGCCTTTATACTTGATTATCAAGCCGGTTTCACTTGAGCGCAGGGTTGGATTGTCGATGACCTCGATAACTTGAATAACTTGATACCAGTTTTTATAGCAGGAAAACTTGGCGGGTACGATACGATATAATCAGTGCAGATTGACTTTTGTATTTTTCAGACAAAAAGAGATAGTGGATTTTCTTTTACGTTTTATAACTACGATATCAAATCTGATTTTTCAATTTGATAGAAATATTAAAATTTAATAAAAAAAATTGAATATTAATAAGTCGCATAAGCAGTGAGATGTACGAAAAAAAACAGACCAACGCGATTGTTTGAACGTTAAACATTCTCGCCTTTTTCTTCGCATTGCCGTTCTATAAAAAATTAACACAAGGTAACACATGAAATATCATACGATTCTTTTCTTACATGATAAAATAATTGATAAAATTGTAATTCATACATATTCTAATTCTATGCATCACACGAACGTGTGGAAAATTATTATCAGTAGACTTTTGTAACATGATCTTTGTACTATCTCACGATCTTGCGGAGATGCATTCTCACATTGAGATGCATGACATTTTGTACGCCACATCGTTTGTCGCGGATCAGATGCTATCGCGACCTTCACCCAGAACTCTATACACGTTTTCCCTAGTGAGCTATTCATAGCAGTTTCGGGCCTTCGCTCGAAATAATATTACCTGTATGCTTTTCTTAAAGTCGAGTTTGATGACTTGCAGCTTTAATAGTCGGAAGCACCGATTCAGGTCAAGACGCGAGTTTAAACGATGCAGACGGCATTATTATCTATTCATCGCTGTAGGCATTCGCGTATTCTAATTGGTCGAAGATTAGAGGCTGGTGCATCGACGCGTGGACTATAAGCGTTGAACTATCAATACGCCTTCTGTCGAACGTCATATGCGAATGTCGTCTGTGCAATACGTGTTAACCCTAGGAATGTGGAGGTGAGGGTTCGGGGCAAACGGCAATTGCGAGTTTTCAATCGCGATAGACTACGCTTATATTTCATGTAAACTTCATTCAGAGAGAGATCATAGATTATGCGACAATCATTTCCTCTATACATATGCATTAAATACATCGAGCCACTAATATCGCTTTAATATCTTTTCTCTTATACTCTACATCCTATCTTACGTTATTTTATATCTGAAATATGCTACATGAAATTAATATTACTCATTTACTTATTTATTTTTATATTATTTTTGTTAAGATTTTATTGATTTTTAGGTAATTTATTTAATTTAATCAATTAATTCAATTTATTTAATTAAAAATTTTACGTTTCTATAATAATTAATAATAAGATATAAAAAAAGTGATGAGTACAGTAACATATATATATGTTTATAGTAAAAGATATTTTATCATAACTTAATAAAATTTATTGTTAAAAATGGTACTTTTACGCACACAAAATTATATATATATATATATATATATATATATATATATATAATACAGGAAGCTAACGTTTTTATCACTTTAATTCACTGTTGGCTTATCGAATTACGCGCCGGCTTCTTGACGAATCATCATCCCTTCCCGTAATAAAGAATACATTAACGTCTAAGCGGAAGCCGCGTTCGTTGCCGTCCGTCACGAGACATGCGTACAACTCAAGCTTATCCACACATGAATCCGTTCGTTTCCTTTCAAGAAAATTATTCCTCTACAGTAGATTTTTTTCAAGGACAAAAAGTTATTATGAAAGAGACGTAATATGATATTAAAAATTGAATTTAAATTGAAATGATTTTCTAGTTTGTGTCTAGAAAACGAGACGGTAAATCCGATCTATCATCGAGTATTGTAATTTTAATCGATATTGGATTATATTAGCTAATCATTTTAAAATTATTAAATTCAATTTTATTCGTTTGAAATCAGGAAACTAAACGCACGCAAACAATATACGAGATGTGTAAAACAAACACAATCGTCTAAATCAATTATGACTTCACGTTAGATCATCGTGCTAATCGTGGAAAATCTAATGAAACCAATTATAGAACTTCTTTTGTTTTTTCTGCGAATTCAAACAGTCGATAAATACGATAATGACATATCATGTGTTTAGAATAATACATTATTTAAAATCGCTTGTTTAGATTGTTCAGAATACATGCGAATAAAAGCAGCTTAGTAAATAATTTCCGTCATACAGTTTAAGTAATTTTTCTTGTAATATTTCCTTGTAAAACATATAACTTGCTCAAAGCTCTTTTTAAAATTTTAATAACGGGAACTGTCATTCCAGCCTACTGAGTTATTAGAATAAGATAAACATCACAAAATTACAGCTCTAACGTGTTAATTGTTAAGACTTGCGTTTTCTTTTGTCGTCGTATTAATTATTACGTTTATTCTATAAAAATATTTTAATGAAATGATCGTGTCGATATTTATGATATTTATGATATTTGCGATAATGCAATGTTTAAGCTTCACTGTATTCTTTACATTTACTTTGTATAACAGCCATGCTAAAACTTTCACATTTTTCATCTGATAATCCATCTGATTTTTTTTATCTCATTAATTTTGTTAAAATTATTTGTGATCTTAGAGAATCTAAAGCGATATTAAATTATTTATTTATCCTTCTAACCCGTTGCCATGTCAACTATCGCAACTTACCTCGCACGCTACGATTGGATGCCATTTCTCTGGTGGATCTCTGGTGACGATGATTGCAAACGCTCCTCACCGGTTTTCCGGTCTTACTGTCTCCTAATTTCAGTGCACTTCTTTGAAAATCAATTTAATTTAACTCTTTTTTTATTACTCTTGCACGAGTAGATATATATTTCTTCCAATTGAATGCAATTCTTCACGTATAAACCATCATGTCACTAGAACGATATTTGACACGAGAAAGAGCCTTCAACCCCCTTTAAAGAATCTTGGAAAAGTCTTGCTTTTCGTACGAACGCCCTCGCCAGCGTTGAACGAACTGGCTTGTTCACTCGTCGCGCTTTAACTGTGCTCTGCTCTAAACGCTGCCAAAAATCTCAGCTGCAAATCGCGGCGCTGGCTGCTCGGAAGACGAAAAGCGAGGACGGCGAAGAGGAGGCCCGTCAATAGCGTCAGCGTTGCAACACCGACGTCTTCCGCGGGCTGCGTCGTTCTCCCGCTTCGCGTTTCGCTTCGTTCCGTCGTAACGTTCCTCGGTGTCGTAACGAAGGCTGCGTGCGATGAAGCGACGAGGTGGTAGAGGCAGAGGGAAAGAGAGAAAGAAAGAGGGGCACGACCACGCACGTCACGAGCGTCCGCGTTGTGTACAATGACGTGCTTTGTTCGTCGCGCCGAAGAGAAGAAAAATGTGCCCTATCGAATGGGGAGTTTTCCCTACCCTCGTACTACTCAGGACATCCGCCCGGAGGGAGGCGAAACGTGAGGGTTCATATGTTTGGAACGAAACAAAACGTTTTCCTCGGCTTTAGAAAGAGATATATACATAGATTTCGGATTGGAAAATTAACTTTTTGATACACAATGCATTTTAATCCCTGCGGCTGATTTTTTTTGTATAATATTCTTACCGCGCACGTTTTCAAAATTTTTTCTTCTTTCTAATTTTGTAGTTACGTATTTATCGTGCGCGCGCGAAGTTATTTCTTCTTGCTACTTCAGATTTCGCGAAACTTCATTTAATTCAAATAATAATGGTGAGAAAATAATCAGGTGGTATACAATTTCAAGATGTTATTAATTACACAAATATTATATATAGAAATATCAATTGTTATATATACATATAATTTTTTTCCTTAAGGTAATACATCGTGGATTCGCATTGAGTGATATCGCAGTTAAGGGGAGTTAGTATAATTCCACGCACAAAATATCTCGTATTCGTTCTCTTGAAGAGATAAATCTTCACGAAGTGGCGGAAGATAACTGTTGTCCGGGCGATACGTCGTAACGCGCCCAGGCATTATCACGACGTTGTAGTGATTAATCAACGTCAGTATTAATTCGCTGATCTGTCGCTTCAGCGTTCTAATGACTGTAATTGGTAGTTACCAGGCATAATTCACCACACTGCTGATGTTCTCTCCAACACGTTATTAATTAGGTCTTAGAATCGTCTACTGTCTCTTTGGACACTTTGCGCGATTAAATAAAATGTCCGTCGGAGTAATCGAATGAAAGGAATAAACGAAGAGAACGGCGCGTTTCCGTTAAGTTCGCAGCCCGACCGGTGAGAATAAAAACTGAAGTGAAGAACAAAATTTTTTTTCTGTTTCTTCAACTTCGTAAGTTAAAAAGTTCAACTTCATAGTTAGAAATGATCGACAAACGACAATATAGGCTATCTCCCAACTTTACAATGCAAACGAATCATAGGACTTATTCATATGTACATATATCGTACTATATAATCCATGATAATAATTAACTTTTTTTTCAATGTAGTTTTTGTTTTTGTTCGATGCACTTTTACGAAACAATTATATTTCTGGCGTACAATATTTCAGTTTGTAAAGCTCTCAAAAGTTTCTCCTTGTCCCTCCTTTTTTTTTAAGAAAAAACGAACGGATTATTTTTGAGTTCTCATTTCTCTGAAGTTCTTGAAATATCTATTAAATTCCACTCCAGGAAGATTTCCGTAAAATTAAGAACAAGATATATGTATGTTTGATATTATTTGTGTTACAAAGGAGGTTTGCGAGGACATTCTACGATGAAACGTACACAAAAGTGCTTCTTTTCGATTTCTTTTAAGAGTATCAGTGGCGTGCCAGTTTTAGAAAATATCGAAGACACTTCGTGTTGTGTAATTCCGCGAATCATGTTACGTCCGTTTATTCTCTTAATTAGCAAAAATATTTCTCTCTCGCATTCATTCTTTCGCATTGCGCAAGTTCCGTTAAGTTCAAAAAGATTTCATGGTACGTAAACGCGTTAAACGACTAAACGCGATACTTATATCACGCGCAGTCTCTTTCGATAAACGTAATAAAGCGTTCGCAATAGTTAATCGAGGATATTAAGCTTGCTGTTGGTCTTCCTTAATTGCGCTCGCCAGGGTATAATCTGACCGTCGTCAGAATCGTCCTTGGCAGGATCGTCCCGCTTCTCGTCGATCTCAGGTTTGTCTTCCTTCTTGATGACGCACGACGCCGCTGCTGCCGCCGCCGCCGCCGGCGAGGCGTCCATCTTCGGGTTTGCCGACGTTACCTCGAATTTCGACGTCGATGCGGTCGCCGACGCGGATACCTGCGTCTGATTCAGTCTGTAATCAAGCGATAATTGTCGAACACTTGAATAACGCGCGTGAAAAATTTTTACATTAATATTTTGTTAAATATTACAATATTAAAGGTTACAAATATTAAAATCATATTGTAATGACTGACGTAATAAAACGAAATAATAAAAAGAAATGCGTAAGAAAATATCGTGAAATATATAAAAACAGAAAAATAAGATTCTTCTTTTTTTGTCTTCAATATTTTTCTCTCTTTTATTTGAAAACTTGAAAAATTCAAAACATTCTAAATAACGTCTTTCTACTTGGAAACACCAAGACATGTCAGTTAGATTTTATCAGGCCGATCTGTTAATACACGTATAAAATATTATGCATAACATTATGCGTATTGCGTAATTTTGCATGTAACGCAAAACGGAGGAACTTGAGGCCAATTGCAATACGCGAGGGGCAATTGTAATATTCGCAATAATTGGAGCACTCAGCTTCCTCCCCCTTCCCTTCTGTTTGTGTGCGTTAAAAATACGCGGAGTTAAATCTCGTAAAATAGCGCGAGATGAATCTCTTCTGAAAAATGTCACGGTTCACGTACGATTTTGTGACAAGCAGTTTCTCGCTGCGGTGCAAAATCGTTCGAATTAATTCTGGCTTTCTCCAGTCGCCGATCAGAGAAGTAATATTCAATTGCGTAGATGATTGATTGATACAGATCCATTAATCACCGTACCTCTTTTCCTCGGTGTCCTTCTTGGCGAGAAGCTGTCGCTTCCACGGCGGAATCGCCTTCTGCCGCCTCTCCTCGTTCTCTCGCGCTATTTGCTCCTCGAGCTCTTTCTTCGCTCGTTCAGCGGCTTTTCGGGCCAGCATCTGTCGCTTCCAGATTGGTATTACGTTTCCCGAGCTGTCCTTCTCGGGGATCTATGGAAAGAAACCACGAATCAGAATTTTAAAACTGAACTGCATGAAAAGTATTAAAAAAAGGAGGACAAATTTTTATTAGAAAGATTAGACATTTTTATGATTTTCTTTACACGATTGTACATATACTTTTTTAAAGAAGAATAAAAAATAAAATGCTCCTACTTGATCAACGAAGTTCGTAACGTTGAAAGCTTTGCTAATTTCCGACATGAGGTTCTGCTCCTGAGTCTTCTCGACCTGCGCCCTCTCCACCTTTAGCTTTTTGATACCAGGTATATCCTTCGTGCGCTTCAATTCGGCGATCAGGTCCGTCTTTTGCACGAAGAACGGCTCCGAGACTACGATCGATACAGTAATATTCTATTTTTGAGCTTTACAGCGAAATAGTACAGTCATATAAATTTCGTATATAGCGCGCGAAAAAAAAACGAGTAAAATGATTCCAAGATAAAATGATTTCCAAAAAAATATGATCGCTAATATAACAGCCATATCGTTACATTCGTTACAAATTGGAGTCCTCGGTTAAAGTTGAAGTCAGAATCCTTTGCGCTCGAGTTCGCGCAAAAGCGTTAAATTGTACGTGCATGTGTGTCGCGGGCTAGCTTACCGTTAGTCATGGACACGCTGCGAGGAGGCGGAGCGGAGAATGTCTTGGTGGCGTTCATCTTCGTGCCGGTCCGCCGTAGCTGGATACTCGTGAGGTCCTGGATGCTGATTGTGGCCAAGGGTTGCTGCGGCGAGCTCTTGGAGCTTTCGGTCTCGTTGCCGGCGCCGGCGGCACCCGGGGCCTGACCCCCTCCCCGCGCTCGCTGCTGCAAGGGTGACAGGGGCGGTGGCGGGGGGCCCGTAGGAGACCCCTTGGCCTCCTCGTTGCTCCGCCGCGCCCCCTCCTCCTCGTCCGCCTCCTCCTCTTCACCCTGCTCTGTATTCCGGCTCTGGATGTCCAAGTTGTCCACTGACCTGCGAGCGCGATTTTTCGCATTGTCACGCGAGCAGAAAATTTGATAATGGCACCGCTCGAAGATAAATTTGTTTATTTGAGCAAGATTTGTTTTATCTATCGGAGAATTAGTGCGTTTATTTCATTCGACGCGTTGGTTATGTAAAAATATTTTAAATCACATTAAATTTTATATAAAAACTTAAAGGTTTCAAGATATATTAATTTCTTAATTTGTTCGAGAACGATTTTTGTTAAATTTTAATTATTTCGATGGCAAATGCTTTCTTTAGTAAAAAAAAAATGGGAAATGCTTTGTCACAAGTAAAAAGTGCTTCCTCGAAAAACGTTTCTCGAAGAGGAACGTTAGTCATATTAAATTGATTTCTCACGTTTCTGCGTAATCGGAAAGTCAAATGCATACGTGAGTTTACATTTCTCTGCATAGCTGAAAGGCTTGAACTGGCGGCACCTGTTATATCAGCCGTAAAGCAAACTTCAGCGATAATCATTACGAAGGTGATTGTCGATATATTATTTCAATTGCGCGAAGATTGAATTGATAAATCATAACCATAGATGTTAACGATAAATGACAGTATTGGATGTTCACCAAACTACTTTATTTAAATTGTATGTAAAATGCTTTGAAATGTGCGCGCGAACGATTTAGTTACGTGTACGAAGTAATCGTACAAACACTATAAACGAGACACTTAAAGTAGACTTTAAAGCCGGTATTCATAGACGTTTCTTTATATATTTAAGATCGTTCTAATCTTGAGATGTCGTAAGCCAATCACAAAGCCGCGTTAGCGTCTTAAGGCATTACTTAAGACAGTCTTGAAATAAGAACTGACTATAAATACTGGTCTAAATCACCACTTTCTAAGTAGTCTAAATAGATAAAGCACACGAAGAAATTCTTGCCTTTTGTTATCTGCTCGTTTGGTTCACATATTCCAGATATCCTTGAAATGCACTAACAATAAGTGTATGTTTTAAATATTAAAATCGTTAAATTGAAATTGATTTAACTAAACAAACAACAAAGAGTATTCGTCACTTCTGAGATCAACTGACGGCATACTGTGAACGGTGAAAGATCACGAAACAGATAGAAGTAGACACCGTTGTACGTAACAGGAAAGATCACTGACCTCGCCTTCGAGAGGCTGTTTTTCGACGACACCTTGCAGATACTCTTCAAGTATTCGGACGGCTTGAGCAGGGTGTTGGAGTCCGCGTTGGCGAACTTTGGCGGTATGAACGGCAGTACCATGTGCCTGTTTACCAGGTGGGACGCCTGGCTCGCTTTAATTTCGTCCGCGTCCACCGGCGCACTGGCGGGAGCCGGCACTTCCGGCTGTTGCGGATGCTCGCCGGAGGATGATGCGTCGGACTTGTTGGCCGCTGTTCCGAGACCGATCAGCAGCAGCGTTAGAGAAAGAGAGAGAGAGACGTGGATAGACGGGGAGAATAGAGAAGGTGGAATAAACGTAAAGGAGGTAAGCAGAGGGAGGAGAGGGCCTCTCGTTACATCCTCTAGCATTGGATGACGGTCGTTACCGAGGGGCAAGTGAAATCTAGGTAAGTATATTATATGCCCGGTGAGCGCCATGGTCTAGTAAGTGAGGCCACCTCCGCTGCTGAGCATGATCCGCTAACAGTTTAATTAAAGGCCGAAGTATATACGCGTGCAGCCCAAATCGAGATCGCGACGTTACGGGGGGTCCCTCCCTCGTACCCTGCACCTTCGTTCGATCGCGAGCCGAGCCGGCCCAATTATACCCGTATAGCGCTGATTAACATCTGCGAATTCATTTTGCCCGATTTTAACTATAATTGCCGGTCGTCGTGTATAGTCGATTCAGCTAATTGCCCTCATGTTCATATCGAAGAGTCGGGGAGGCACGCGTACCGAAAATATAAGCGTGATTCGCACGAGCGTAACAGCGACCGCTTCGAGGCAATTATACCGCGACGGTAAAAATACGGTAACAACGAATTATGGATTGTATATAACGGAGTTATCGCATTTCCTGGTAAGACTATACAGGGACCACAACGAATTCAAAGTTGATCCTTCTGATCCGAATAAAATTCGACTAATTGTAGCGGAGATAATTAAAGTACGGAAGGCATTAAACGCCGAAGGTAGACAAACTCCGAATCTGGCCAGGTGTTCCGCGAGTGGCGTCATTAAGACAGATCGACTCGTTAAGTAAAATCTGTCGAGGAAGTAATTGAGGAGTACAACGGTCTCTTCGCATTGACCGGTAGTCGTAAAACATCGACCGGCCGTAAAACCGTTCATGCGCGACGCGATCTCTTTTCGCGATTGTTGCGAATAATACAAAATTACGGTTGTTATATGAATATTAATACAGTTATTATATGTATATTAAAAGGATGTCTTCTCATATCCGACGCGGAATAATTTAACAGATATAATTTCGATAAACGCGACTGGCGTTATACAGCGTTCGCCGGAAGTAGCGGATTAATGTTGATCCACAATAAGGATTTCAAGCCCTAAGCAGTAAGAAATAGACCAATCGTAGTCGAATATGAGAAAAATAATTGATTGTAATTGATTGTAATTGATCAATATCTTACGGTGTAAGGCTTAAAAGCCTTATTGTGGACCGACACTTATTCCTCGATTCAAGATCTGTCAAAGACGAAATTGCAAGCCAGAGAAGGGAACGCCCGATTCGAATTGAATGCATTTTCACGCAGTGAACTCGCACGGAAAATGTCAGACGAACGTGCGTGCACGTATTTCTGTTCAAAGTCGAGCTGCAACTTTCACACTTGCGGTAATTTCGCAAGGGAGCGAAAGGACGTCGAAGAGGAAATGGGCAATTTCTTACCGAAGGACTCGGTCTGGCCGCTTCCTCGCGCATCTTTTTTGTCGGCGTCTGCATTCGGCTTTGCGTTCACCAGGACGACTACCACATCGTCGTCCGGCGGTGGCGGCGGTGGCGGTGGCGGTGGTTTCGAGAGACTAGAGAATAAAAATCTTGGTTCCGATGTGATGCAATATGAATGTTAGAAAAATGTTGATAAATTAATATTGCGAAATTTTATTTGTTATTGTTAAGTAATATTGATTAAAAATTTCGTTGCTTGAGTGCGAATGTTAAATTTTGACGGACGTTTTTTCGTTGGCCATATGCTAGTAAAAGCAAATAATCTTTCTGACCAGAAAAGCTACAGAAAATTGGTGAAGGAAAATTTTATCACATTCCATATAAAGATAAGTGAAAGTATAGTGTTGTAGTAACCGATTGCAGCGTCTGATAAAAGTAAACAATAGTGATAAAAAATCTCGTCTACTCTATAATTAAGAATTAGAAAACGTTTGCCAATTTTATGAAGACAACTGAAGGTAAGAATCGTAGCGAACAATCATAGTAATATTGTAGATACGTGCACCTGATTGCAGAGAATGACAGTAAATGGAGACGAGCGAAAATATGTGGAAAGTTCGGCAGTATAGGCAATAAAGTGGATGGAGGAGCGTCTATCTTGTTTCGAAAGCAATTTTATCAATTAAGGATTCTTTTAGAGTTTATCTTAGTGTGTTTCTGGAATTAATGTTTTCACTCTTTCTGAAGTTAATGCGCTAATATCGTTCACTAATGCTCGTTCAGCAGTCGCAGCGAGTCGCATATACGATTCAAATCGTCATTATTCATTTTGTCCGGTGCATTAACGACTGGAGGCGATTGCCAGCAACGGCCATCCTCCGCCTTTACAACACGGCATATCCCATCCGCGCGATATCTCAAAGGAAAACGAACGACAAAGTCGGCGGCGAAAAGGAAAGAGGCGAGTCGAATCACGCGAAGTGTAGCGAGCACAGCTCCGCCGCTCGATCGACTTTCGATCGAGCTTTCTTTCCTCTTTTATTGGCGCGGCTTTAGCCTAAGTCTCGCGATCGGGCATCGAATCGCCCTACTTACCTAGGTCCGCCGTTGCCATTTGCACGGATCTCCTTTTCACTTTCCACCTGCGCGCTGGACGAGTCCTTCCTCTCTGCGAACCGAAACAGAATACGTGTACCGGTTAATCGCAGCTGTTCGCTTGGATTATCTGCAAGACGGCCGTAATGCCCTGTCGTTTTTTTTTTGCGAAAAATCGTCGACGTCGATTTGCATCGTATTAACCTGATGACTAATAAAGAGTTATTGCCAACTCCATTATTTATCAGATACGGACACACAGCCACAATCAGTATGCAGTAATAACAAAGGCAAACGAACTGACACAAAAGACCGTTCTTTGTTTTCTGTCTCACATAACTGTCTTTATAAATATTCTGATTATTTATTCTCTCTAGTTGAAACGAGAAAATAATCTTTTCTTCTTACGTGATGATTTATTTCACACATAAAAGTTGAAGAACTGTTTCACTGATTATATTTAAAGTCATTAATAATGACTCGTTATTACGGCTCATAATTTAATATAATACGCGATATATATTCTTTAATCACAGACACACTATGGCCATCCTGCAGATATTTTCCGGGCACTTTCGATGCATAAGTACCGTGCAGCGCTTCCGCGTTTGTCTTGGTCCCCGGCTTGCCGATCCGTTCGCTGCTGCTGTGCCGCGACAAGGACGGGGTGGACGTCGTCGAGGAGAGGCCGTGGACCTCGCTGCTCATGTTCGACGACTCGCTGGCGCTGCTAGATCGGCTGTATCGCCTGTCGGTTTTTCGAGAACGACTGAAACGTCAGAGAGACGGTCTTGTCGATGTTTCACGGATCCACGAATCGCCGGGAATTAACTTTAATCTACTCGTGATTAAGAACCTGGGTCGCTTATCGGTGAGATAAACAAGCGCAAAAATAGCGATACGCTGCTCTCCGAACGCGTTGTCCACAAACGATTTCTTAATGATTATAAAATCAATTTCGCTCGCCAAACGGTTACGAACCGTTGGCTACCAGATGTTGATACATCGATGTTGCTTACCTTCGTGATCGCTTTTTATATAGTATAGTGTCTGATACTTCGTTGTGCTGCGCTCATCAAAGTTCTTTTCTGACATGCGATTCGTGGTATCGCGGGAACGATTTCAATAATATTTACTCGCGTTAACGACATATACTCGCCAGATAAATTTTAATAACAACTATCGTAAAATAAAATGTCTAACAGTACATGATCCACACTTTTTCTGAAAAATTTCTTTTATACTATTATTTTTATATTACTCTACGCTTTGTAACCCATGCAATTTATACTGCTGAGCAATTAATATTGCTGTAAAGCAGTGAAAACTTTAGAGCAACGTTTCTTTTTTAAAACTTGAGAAAATCGATTTTTATTTTATAACTGAGAAAATTAAATTTAAATTAATTCTTCTAATTTTTTTAAGAGAATGAGTTAGGTATTTTTGGACCAAAACTTACTTTGATTTTTTTATCTCGCTTGCGGTGAATTTATTCGAATTATATGTTACCTGCTGTCGGAGGTATTGTCCACTGGCTTTTTACGCGATGCCGAGCTCACGCTGCTCGTTTCCTCCTGCCGTACGCAGATCTGCTCGTAAGCATGATCCGAGGACTCCCTCGCGATCTCAGAGCGCGCCGCATGTCCATTGCCGGGATGCGGCCGGCCGACGAATCCGCCATTGTTGATGTGCACGTCCACTTTCACTGAAAGTCAAAGCCCCGTTCGGAATATTACGCATCGCACACGAGAAAACTGCCTTCCACGCGAAAACATCACGCTCGAAAAGTTCTTCGGAAACTACTTTAGCAAAGCTCAAATTTGCGACTCGCAAAAGTTGCCTGTCGCAACTCGATCGCTTCGTAGGAACTCGTAATCTTCATAGCGATTAAAATCTAAATTTTTATGAAATGAAAAATTTATTCCTTTTTAATCTCTAATTCTCGCACTGTATCGGCGAGTTTTATCGCGTTTCGCTGCAACTCGCTCGATCCGTCGATCGCATTTTATTGCTCTTACTCATTAAGAGCCGCTGCACTGTAACGGCTTAACGGTATCCGCGGTAAATCGCGCGCGAGTCTTTAACCCGGTTTCGCGGAGCGCGCGCGCGTGTTGTTCGCGACGTGTGGCTTTTTTTCGCTCCTCTGACAATTACCCGAGTATCTCTCTTTCTTCGAGATCAGTCTCGCGGCGTTTTACCGCACACTATAGTCACGTGTCGCTCGTGAAACGGACGACCAAATTTACTGCTGGCAAAGTAAATCGAATGAGAAGGACAATTACGGTTTACGTTCTCACTTATATAGCGTGCTCCACAAGACGTCAACTTACGCGCGTTTCTTGTATTAACGTTTGTCGAGAATAAATACTATAATTTCTTAGAGATTTGATATGCCAATCGATACGTTATAATAACATTTGGAGCGGAAGCAATGAAGACAGATGGTTCCATCTGGTCGATCTGTGAAACTTTATAAATATTGTTGGGCAGAGCGAAAGAGAGACGGAAAGATCGGCGATACCGAACATTGGATAGGAATCCAGGTCGTCCTGGAGCCACAGCGGTTGTTGAGAACCGACGGCGTAAACAGGGTGTCCCAAAATTATTGTTTCGACTCTACAAATAATTTGACGGAATATTTTCTTAAAATTGAGTGTTACGAAATTTTTCTTAATATCTTTGAACTCTGGTATTTAATATTCTAAATAGCCAAGCTTTGAGTTAAGATCTTATTGAGGACGATCACAACGTTTCCTCTACGAATTAATAACGTAAGTTCGATGACTCTTGTCATAAATTCGAATTGTCATAAATCGCCATTCGGGTAAAAGCCCCTTCACTTTCGACGATTAGCGACGGGATATTTTCTGGACACCGTGTGTAGCGCGCGTTATAATACAGCGATGAAAAGTATCTGGGACGTGCTACTTACCAGTCAGAGTCTCGTCTTTCCTCTCCGGCGTATGGCGCTGCTCCGCCGCGACGCCGTTCCGCGGCTTCTCGGCGTCGCCGAACAGCCGCGTGATCCTGGTGTAGACCAGATCGTGCGGGCTGTGCAGGTAGAAGGACTCGGCCGTGTCCTTGGGCTTGGGCGGCTCGCCGATATACGCACTCATGGGGTTTATGTAGATACCGTCCCGCGGCCGGGAACCCGGCGGATGCAGGAAGAACGGCTCTTGGAACATGCCGCAGCCGCGCAACGAGCACTGCAACACGTTTTAGCGACATTTTTTTAAGTATTCGAAAATACATAAAAGAGAAAAAAAAGAGAATTGCATTTATTTAAAAAAAATTTTTAATTTACGAAAAGATATTTCTCTCCAATTAAAATTTTGTGATTCTATTTTATGATATTGATTTTACGAGTATATATATGTATATTTTCTAAAGAATAAAAAAATAATCAAAACAAAAATCTCTTAAATCTTATTCGTGTAAGAAGAATTAAGAGAAGTAAAAACTATTAATTAACGAATTCTTTAAGATGATATCTATAATGCCTTTCTGTTTTTAAAAAAGTTAGTTTAAGGCTTCTGTACATTTTTATACGCTTTCTCTCGACTTGATATTTAATAGCCAACTAGTTCAGAAAAGGGTGAATGCAGTCTTACTTTGTCGATGGAGCTCGCGACGCAGCTGCACGTGGTGGTGTCGCTCATGTGGCCTGAGTAGTCCGACCCGGCGCGATCCCTGGCCATCTTCGGGGTGACATTAGGAGGAGGAGGCTTGCCGGTCTCCTGCTGCACGTCAGGACAAACGAAGAATGATTAGAACCGTTCGCCGCTGATTGGCATATATCCGTCGATCTATTAGATTGAAATGATCCTGATCCTAGTTGTGGAACCTGTCGCGGAAGCGATCGCCTCTTCCTTATTGAGCGAGTAATAGAAGTTTCTGAACCGCCTTTCTCTCTCTTTCTCTCTCTCTTTTTCTTCCTCACTTCTCTTTCGCTCTCCCTGTTCTCTCTAGTTCGCCTCTTCGATGTACCGCAATCGATTGCATTTGTCGAACGCGGACTTGCGATAATCCCCGTTGCTTAATAGCGATTACCCACAGTTGCGCAAAAGTCTGAGATTGACCTCGTTCGCGTTCACCGGAAAAGTTCATTCCGTAGGAGGAGGAGAAAAACGCCGATGATTCGGCGAACGTTGCAGGAACGCTACTATTGTCGCGGGAGGTTGCAGTTATATAGACATGTAACCTTGCATATGCAAGCGGTTCGTAATAAGACATAGGAAAGTGGAAGCACGCAGGTGGCGATTAACACTTCTATATAATCTTTGCGAAGGTCAGAAGAAGGAATTTACAATATTTTTCTCTTTCTCAAACAAGTATGAAATTGATAATACAATTTAGGATCTAAAGAACAAATATGAGAAAAGTGACATAAAATATGAAATGTTTTATCTTTGCTTATTTCGAGAAATAATTAAATCTTTTTTTATATATATATTAGCAATCGTGGCGATCGTGGCGCGACAAGCTGCGCTTTGGCTTTCTGTGCCAAAGACTCCGGTTCGAATCCACCCAGAATCATACAACTCTAACTATAAATCGGTTTTAATCGATTTAAAAGCGATCGCCACCTCTCGAAAGGCAAAAGCAAATGAGAGTAACTGATGACCAGAAAAGTCTCTTATAAAAAAGTAAAAAAAAACATGGTCCATAACATGGACGGTATTGTGAAAGAAAAAATAACATTTATCTTATTGTATTCATGGCGGTGTACCATCCATTAAAAAATAAATGACATTTTTCCTTTACTGACATTTCTAGATTAAGGACCATGTTTTTTTTTACTTTTTTATATGTAATATATAAGCTTATTAATTTATAATAAGCTTATAAAAAAGCATCATATCTATACTATCAATTCCTGATTTCACCGATTACTTCAAATTTATATGAACAAATTAAGAATAAAAAAAGGAACTGATTAAATTAAAAATTAAAAATAAGTAAAGGAGTAAACGAATCGGACTTATCATATGTGCTCTTATAAAATTCAAAATAATCTTATAATAATTAGCTTGTTTGATTGCTTCTTTATTTATTTTTGATTTTTAATTGTTTGAAAATTTGAATTTTTAATTTTAATAATTGAATAGTGAATAATTATAATTTAAATGAAATAGTACGGAAAAATTGTGAAAGGAAAGCGTAATTAATCGGCGGTTACGCGCGCAATATCGATAAAATATATTGTTCCGCATTAATCCGTTTTAACGTAGCTAAAAAATAAGTCGATTATAACAATTTGCGCGATACGATAGCAGACGTCGATACCTTCTTATCGGTCGTTCGATCGATTGAGGAAAAGCAAATTGGATCTGTATGTATCTGAAACATGGCGCGTTGGTTTTTGCGGGACCCCGAGCGGGACGACTTTTAACTCGAACGTCGCCAATCAAGAAACCGGATTTACGTTTTATATTAAATTATTTTACGTTTTGTTAGACTGGTAACCCGCTGACACGCTGATTAGATTATACCGTAAGCTACCGGACTCGTAACTCCCTTTCCGCATAATTCTACGTACGCGTGGAAATTGCGCGCCGCCGCGCTTCCCAGTCGCTCTCGTTTCATCGAGGTGAAACTGCGTACGTGTCGATACAGCGCGAGATTCAACACTCGAGTGTCCAATTAAGTCAACGAAATGTACCCAACGAAAAAAAAAAAATTCTAGAACACGTCTTGGAATATGTTTTCGTGCAGAACGAATAAAGCTGATTTAATCGCCGTCAAATTGAAAAATGTAAAATCAGCGTCGCGAATGGAGATAACTTCATTAAATGCGAATCTTTATTTAATCACTTAACGCTATCATTGTTAACTCAATTATCATTAAATAATTAACATTAATACAGTTAATAATACAGTTAAAGATGTACATATTTATAATATATAATTTAAAATAAATAAATAAAAATGAAATTTATTATACCGAAATATTTCGTTTCGAAAGAGAGATATTAAACAGAGAAAAATTAGATAAATGATCAAACAGATTAGTTCGTGCTCTAGCGAGTGTCTTAACGTTGCGGAAATACACTTGTACGTCGTATCGTACGTTGTTATGCAAATTCGTATACGCGATGTGCTTGGCCTGTGGCGTAATTGGGTCGCGTGTTGAAAGAAGGAAGCGAAAGAAGAGACCGCGCGATCGCGTAAGAGGAGATATAAGTCTCTGTGGAGCGATAAAAGTGACAAATCTCGCGTCGCTCGGCCACGCGTGAAAGTGGTATTTAGCTGATGGCCACACGTACTCTAATTTCCGTGCCGGTCAAGAGGAGAAATTCGCGCCGCGAGATCTCTCCGCGCCGTCCTCGTGTCTAAATACAGCCAACCTCTCACGTGTTCACTATATGTTGCCAATCGTCCACTTGTACTGTAACTTATCAAATTTTTTTTTACCTTCTTAAAAGAATTCTTTTCTCTCGAGATTTTACTCGCGGGGCGAAATAGTTCTTTCATCCTGCTGTCGTCAAAATTGACAGGAGAAAACGCAACTATGTGATTTCACAGTCTGCTGCATTCTTATTGATCGGGGTATTGCGTGAGTCTGGCTGGGTGGCATCTCGGAAGCTTTACCGAGGTACGAAAATGTATCGTGGCGGAGAAAAATGACGGACAGCCGCGAGACAGCGCGATGTCACTGGTCCGTGATGGGGCACCACCCCGGAAAAAATGCCCGTCCACGCGAATCCTTTCCCCGTGACGTGTATCCCGTTGCGATACGCGCCAACGACACGCTTTCCGCTCAACCGGGTGAAGGCCGAAAAGAGAAAAAGAAAAAAAAGAATGATTTTTCATACGATGCACCGAGCGGATTTGCATATATTCGGATTTTCATTTAACAGAATTCAGAGTGCAGGCGAAACAATACGACGACATACGCGTCTTCAACTTTGCAAGTCTTTAGTCTTTAACGAAGTATCGGATAATTATGACAATGAACTCCTCGCATTGATGTGCAATCACGCGAGTCCTTCTACCGCCTCCTCTCGGCGTTAATCAAATCGCCGCTGACGTACTGTTTTAATAGCCGGTTCATTGCCCACCGTAATTACGAGTAACGTTTGGCGCATCTCGTTTCCGAGCTGAACCAGCTTCCTCCCGCTATCCCACATTTTTACCGTAAATCGAAGTAGGCGAATTCGTGTGAGCAAACATTAGAAAGCCGCGGATTTATAGCCGTTACATTTTTATTGTCGGATCGGTGATTTTAGACTTAGACACGCATCAAGTCAAATGTATCGGTCTCGAGAAAGTCGACAAAAACTTCCTTCTTCTAATTTCACTTGAAAATAGATTTAATGTCATGATATTAATTTTTATTATTCTTACTATCAAATTCCGCAGATAAACTGTCAAAAAGGAAACTGCAGATTCCGACGAAACGTAAGAGTATATAAAAAGCACTTCTTTTCAAAATATAAAAATAAAATTTAATAAAGTATATTAATTAATCAATCGTCACTTTCTCCTAAGAAGTGAAGAAGAAAATTAAAAGTCAGACAAATATAATAAGAGGAGTGAAAATTCATAAAATAAGAAAGTGCACGAGTTTAGACTTGCAATTAACGGATTCCTGGAATTATTCATGTAAGAAATCAATCTTTTGTGTCGTATTTTTTGAGCCGCGATATTTTTATTTTGTGCTTGACGTCGCGATATTCTCATTGTTGAAAATAACGCTCCATTAAAAACCTCGCTTTAACCTTGTCTCGTTATCGGCCACGAACTGCATCTTAGTCTCTCTTATCTTCAGCGAGCGCATTCGCGAGCGGTCGACGTTCAAGGTGACACGTGGAGGAGAGGATCCGAGTCTCATGCGTGGAACTGACCCGCGCAAGGTCGACTTGCGCGTTTCGCCACGCTGCAAAATGCGATTCGCGATACCGCCGCGACTCCGTTTCATTCACGACTGATGAATGATACCAGTGCCAATCGACCGAGCGAAACCGCGAACGAAGTCCACGTTGTGAAGAAGATTTATACAATATTAACGAATGTAAGAAGATTTAAGAACAGCCGAAAGGGCTTTCCCAAAAATTGATTTCATATTTAACGATTGTTGAATTCGAAGAAAACGCGAATTAGAAAACGCGTGACGTCCGTTTTACATCCCGTATACTTTGATCGCGACACGTTTCGCGTTAAATCTATAATTGTTCGAGTGTGACACTTTGAGTTAAATTAAACGCACACGTTGCGTCGTTTATTCCAACAAAACCGGGGATATCTGCCATATGTTGCGCTCGAATTTACGAGAGAATAAGTGTGTCAACGATACTGGATCAAATTAATATCCGTGAAGAATCGGCCAGTCGTACAGGCAATAAACATATTTCGGCTATCAATTTTACAATCTTTTTACCTGGATCTTTTTCGACGCGGAAATACGCACGTACTTTAAGTGTAGATTTTCCCATTACACGCATGAACGTTCGCGCCGCTCATTACGAGTGAAAAGTAGCAGCTATTAGATTTGCACGCAAAACCGGATCGTACGATAGAAACCGCGCGCGGTTCTCCGTTACAGCCAGCCGATTTTACTAACTTTCAAGTCATCGTCAAGAGGCGATTCGACGTTAGCGACGTGGAGTACGACCTTCAAGTTTTGAACTTCGAATTATTGTTGTTTTATGGTATTTCTCAATCGTATTTCCAACGATATGTATTTATTGTGAAAAAAAAATGAACAGAAACATTAGTTTATGCGAAATTGTCTTTGTAT